CATACACTTCCTTCCAGGCAAATAATTCAATAACTTTTTGACGGGGGAGAGATTAAAGGTTATACAACGTCAGAAAACATTTGGGGGGGGGGGGAACTCTTAGTAGGATCTTGGGTTCATTATCTTTTTTTTCCTCTATTACAGAGATATTTTTAGCATGACATCTATATCATTAGTAAATTATAAATTAATCATAATGTGGGGAGAAAAAAAGAATACATATTGTAAGTTACGAAAGAAAAAGAAAATCAAAAAGAGACAAATACACCGGGGGGGGGGGGGGGGGGGGCAACAGAAATCCCTTGACAAGTAAATTTCTCAATTTCATTTCAATTTCTTTTTAAAATATGATTGACTAACATATTCTCCCTAGTTGTGACTGGTTTTATGAAGATTTTAACCATAGGTTTTAAAAAATATTCACAAATTATGTGTTTTATTTTCATAAATAATTTTTTATTTAGAAAATTAAAATGTCTCTATCCAGCCTTTATTAACATATTTTATAAGACATTATATTATGCATTTATTCATAGCAATTTTTAAACCATAAAGCATCTTATTTGCAAATAAAACATTTTTGTTTATTTTCTCTGAAAAAATGGAAAAAAAATCGTATGAAATAAATAAGGTAGTACAATGAAATATATGGAGATAACGAACAGTATTCAAGCTCTAAAGTCCATTAAACAATACTAAATAGGAGCAGAGCAAACACGGACCTCCAAAACATCAGAGGTGGGATCAGGGCCATGGAGGAGTGAGCATCCCCTGCCGACCGTCGGCAATTCGGTGTGTAAATAATGGCCAAACAATTAGTATGAAAAACGCCAGTCAGCATTTGACTCGAAGATAAATTGTATTTGCTGACAAGGTCATTGTATCGACCATAGAACTTAAGAAATGATGACTTTAAACGAGACTGCTGATATTCTTGTTTCATCAACTTGTTTGTTAATAATTTACCTCGTTTAGAAATTGTACATACGTAGAGCATGCTCTTGCGTATCGAATCAACTGAGAGATATAAACCCCCTATGCAAGTACAACACTCATTAAATCTATTTAAACTAATTTCTTAAAAATTACGTGAGAAAAAAGAAAGATATCCATATATTGTCAATAATCATTGATCTTTGTAAGAAAAATAATAAGCTGTGACATGTTTTCGTCATATTTTTTTTAAAATAATTAGAGACATCCTATATATTGGTCACTTAGGAGCTTACATTTTAGAATGTGTTTATGCTGTCTAAATGCAATATGACAGTCTGTTATTAAATGCAGTGTAACTTTTGATCCATAAATAATAGAGGGCTGATATTTGGACATATATATGAGGAATCTCCATTCTTTATCTACAATAAAGGTCAAGGTCATATTGAGAGGTCAAAGGTCAAATATTGTGACGTCATCTACTGAATCTTTCACTTTTTGCCTTTGAATTTTTTTTTAAATCGCCAAAACATCTGAAACCATCGGTTCAATTTTCCGTATTTTGACACATTATAATCTGTGATCCATTTCAATCAAACTGTTGATTTTTTGTAAAAAATGAATCATACATTTTCTCGTAAGAGAACTTAAATTGTAGCATATTTTCATGTGAATTTTCAATTCCAGGGCTACGTATGTCCTATAGTTTTACACATATTTTACTCAAATTTACCAGTATCAATATATTTTACTGAATTTAAGTAACAAAAAGGTTGCCTTTAAAAAAAAGCATCACACAAGTTTGCAATAAATCAATAATTTTTAAATAAAGCACATTCTCTAGTCGAATGACTGATTTCACAATCTTCTTACAGGGGTCTGATCAGCCATATTTCAAACTATGTGGGCAAACAATGTGCAGTTGAATTTCTTTCATATTACATATAAAGAGAGATTTTGTATCCTAGAACAAAATATCAAAGTTTCAAAAAAATTGAATTTGAGGAAAATTTTGGCCTATCTATTATGTACTACCTTAAAAGCTAATATCGGTCTTTCAATGCTGAAACCATAGTTTAAAGGGATTTCTTAAAGATCTAATAAAAAAAAATGGTGTGGCATTCCTCCTTAAAACAGAACAATGAAATTCGTCTCCTTATACTCCTGTTATTTGTAACGCCCTACGAGAAAATCAATCATTTTACTGGTGCGATGCGTGCAACGCATTCATTATAACTTTATTCCATCAAATGTACTTATTCTAGCTTGACCCCCCCCCCAAAAAAAATAAAAAAAACAAACCCCCTTTTTTTTCTGATGGTCAACCCCTCAAGAAAACCCTCTTCCCGGGAAAACTTCCCCTTTATGTACACTAATATAGATTCTTTATCGGAAAATAAAATTCGTCGTCTTATTTATACAATGTACTCCTGTTATTTGTATTTGCAACGCTCTATGGAGAAATCAATCATTTTACTATGGAGCGTTGCATGCAACGCATGCATAATAAAGAAGCGCTTAATTCCGTCAAATGTACTTCTTTTAACTTGATCCCCCCTCCCCCCCCCCAAAAAAAAAAAAAAAAAACACCAAGCCCCATTTTATGATGGTCAACCCCTCAAGAAAACCCTCTTACCGGGGAAACTTCCCCTTTATGTACACTAATATAGATTCTTTATCGGAAAAAAATTCGTCGTCTTATATATATATATATATATATATATATATATATATATATATATATTCCTATTATTGGCATCGCGATGCTAATTAGTTTTGGGCATTTCACCCAGTAAGAGTGACATTCCCCAAAAAACTCCAAGCCCTTTTTCTGATGAAATCCCCCAAAGAAACCCTTTTCCCAGGAATACTTTTCTTTGTGGAGCTTATAATCTTGATATTTGGAAACGTCGTCTCTCTATATATACTCCTGTTGTTAGGATCGCGATGCTAATAAGTTTACAGGTATGTAAATGTGTCTCGTCTCTCTATATATACCGGTGTACCAGTGAAAACTGTCGATTAGCATCGCGATGCTAATAAGTTTTGAGGTATTGATATATGAATGTTTTGTCTCTATATATACTCCTGTTATTGGCATCGCGATGCTGATTAGTTTTGGGCATTTCACCCAGTAAGATGTGCTATATTTAGAGTGACATCCTCCAAAAAACTCCAAGCCCCATTTTTTCTGACGAAATCCCCCAAAGAAACCCCTTTCCCGGGAATGCTTCCCTTTGTGGAGCTTATAATCTTGGTATTTGGAAACGTCGTCTCTATATATATACTCCTGTTATTAGCATCGCGATGCTAATAAGTTTTGAGGTATATATAAATGTGTCTCGTCTCTCTATATATACTCCTGTTATTGGCATCGCGATGCTAATTAGTTTTGGGCATTCCTCCCGGTAAGATGTGTCATATTTAGAGTGATATCCCCCCAAAAAAACTCCAAGCCCCATTTTTTCTGATGAAATCCCCCAAAGAAACCCCTTTCCCGGGAATATTTCCCTTTGTGGAGCTTATAATCTTGATATTTGGAAACGTCGTCTCTTTATATATACTCCTGTTATTAGCATCGCGATGCTAATAAGTTTTGAGGTATATAAATTTGTCTCTTCTCTCTATATATACTCCTGTTATTGGCATCGCGATGTAATTAGTTTTGGGCATTCCACCCAGTAAGATGTGCCATATTTAGAGTGTTGCCCGATTAGCAAATACCATTTCATGGTTGAGTTCGACTTTTCCACTCGGCGAGCAGAGCTTTGACGCTGTTTTCGGGGATAAAAGAAAATAAAGACACGAATGCCATATATGGTTGTGTAGATAAATTATCGTAGAAGACATAGGTATAAACAGTTTGCCAGTGCATGTCCTCTGAAATTGTAAATGAGTGCGATTCTGAGGGAGGGGGGTACTCCCTGTAATTCGGAGTTGGATACCTTGTGTTATTATTATACTATGGGTCAAAAATTTATTACAGAAAGAAGTTCCTGTGGATGAAATCCCCTAAAGAAACCCTTTTTCCGGGAATACTTCCTTTGTGGAGCTTATAATCTTGAAATTTGGAAACGTCGTCTCTCTATATATACTCCTGTCATTGGCATCGCGATGCTAATAAGTTTTGAGGTATATAAATTTGTCTCTTCTCTCTATATATACTCCTGTTATTGGCATCGCAATGCTAATAAGTTTTGAGGTATAAAATTTGTCTTGACTCTCAATATATACTCCTGTTATTAACATCGCGATGCTAATAAGTTTCGAGGTATATAAATGTGTCTCGTCTCTCTATATATACTTCTGTTATTAGCATCACGATTACAAGTTTATTATTTTTTTTAATATAAATTTCATTTTCAACAGTTTAAAATCATGAAATATTGGTTTTTAGTAACTTTTAACGCTTCTAACGTTACGTAAAATGACGTCAATAATTATTAGCATCGCGATGCTACTAACAGGATTATGCCCTTTTATGGAGAGAATTTTTTTTTTTGTATGGCCCAACACGAAAATATTGCTTTACTTCTTCCTCCTTATAGTACGCCTGCGCAGAAAAGTTGAAGAAGTTAGAAATATCATGGTCTCAAGTACCAAAATGAATGTCGGTAGACTAAGATTTTTGAAACAATCTTCAAAAAAGATTATTAGAAAATATTTCTCACCTTTGCATACCCTAATTGAATGTTGTTTACAAGTTAACTCTATTAAAAATAAAAGTGGCGTGACCTTGACATGCACGATATCAACGAAACGGTTGATACAACCTTTGTTTTTCCGGCACTTATATCAATTGTGCAGTTTCTTCTTGCTTTGCAGTGCAGTTTAGTTGTTAAATCTTTCGCTTTATGATACAGATATCTTTTAAGAAACACATGATTTTGACTCATTATGTAACTTTAATGAAGCCAAAGAGATGGCATTTCTAGTCTGTATCATCCAGACGTTTGCATTTACCTCTACAAACGTCTGGACGCTTTCTATGAAAAAAAATTTGAACTCAGAGCGAGGCTTATCAGAAATCTGATAAGACAGCTGATTGGCTGTTGAAAAGTGTCATGGCTGCGCCCATGGAAAAAACATTGAAAGCAACTCTTGACTCATTACAGATAGATTTTGCGTTGAAAGAAAAACAGATTTACTGTTTAGAGCATTTATCCGTTGGTAAAGATGTTTTTGCCGTGCTACCAACAGGGTATGGCAAGTCCATTATTTACAGCGTTCTGCCAAAAATGTGGCGAGTTATAGAAAGTGCTGCAAACCAGGCCGATATTCAAAGTTGTGTCAGTTTTAGCTCTGTTGATAGACAGTCATGTATTGTATTAGTTGTGTCTCCGCTAGTATCTCTTATGAAAGATCAGGTACAGAATATCACGAAACTTGGAGTAGATTCCATTTATCTTGGAGAACCCCACACCGAAGGTTTGTCTGTTAATATATTCATATACTGATTTATCGTGATTTCTTAATTTCTTCTTTTTTTATCTGTACATCACTCCTGCATTATGGGAATGTGAGCTCTTACATAAAACTGAATAGCTTAGCGGTGAAAGCGCTATTGCTTTATGCAATGGAGACAGTGGTTCGAATCCACTTTCAGTTTGTTACTACATGTAGTTCACTTCCTCATTCAAACTTTCAATCAATGTAACTTAATTATGATATCTGTATCAACTGTCAACTTCTAGCTTACATTTAAAAAATAAAATTGAAGTCAATACAAAATATTTCTTTCCAATCATAGGACAAACAAAAAGTTTTATTTCATGTTATTGGTTACAATGACTGCTCAAATCAAATTAACAACTGCCACAATGATACATTGATGCCATTATTAAGGTTATGTTATGTACAACAAATTGCCATATAACACATATAGTAAATGAACGATATGAGAATACAATTGATATACAATGATGTATTGTGGTACAAGCACTAATCAGTTAAGAAATAAGGTATCATTTTGAAACATCTATCAGGATATAAATACGGGTTGGTCACGAGATCAAATTCCGTAAAGCCCGAAGGGCTTTCTGGTAAATTTGATCTCGTACCAACCGGTTTTATTTTTCAAACTCAGCAGCACAAATTTGATCTATTGATTGCGCGTTGACCCTTTATGACGTCACTGAGAAAAAATGTTGAACATTTATGACATGAGGAACCTGTGTTTATATGGATATAGATACGCATTGCTTTCAACAGTGTTATATAAAAGAAAACATTTGCAAATGTAAATATTATATAATATACCCCTCCATAATTAGCTAAATATACTGAAAGAGGACCTTGGGAATAGATTATACAACTTTTCCCATTAATCATAACAATTTTTCACAGGACTTCATGTATACTGTGTGCTATATCATCAGTTTCGGACAGGGGTGATATGCAATCAGAAAAACACTGTGTGGTGATTACACCATCACATGATTGCATAATTGAGTGATACACAGTTGGGTATATAATAAAAACATATCTACTCTTACACTGTATAGATGCATCATCTTTTCAATATCTTTTAAACAATCAATATACATGTATTACACAGAACGCATGCGCTTGATTAAAGATGGACAGATTCCTTTGATAATGTTGAGTCCTGAAAGTCTTTTCTCTGGCACCTGGAGAGAGCTCATCCTCACAGATCCATATCAACAGCACCTACACACAATTGTCATAGACGAATGCCACTGTGTTGAACAATGGTACATAAAATAATACAATGTATATATAAGTGAGGTACATTTTTAGACCTATAAAAGATATAATATTTTGCCATTTTCTACCTACAACTAAAACTGCCTAGTACTGATATAATGTTTTCTGTAAAACTTTTTAGAAAATGAAAATAATGGAAATTCTACATATAATAATAAATTAATATAAAGATCATTTTATAGCTTTCTACTTTCTTACAGAAAAAGATCTATAATATGACTTGTATTTGGCACAACTTTTTTTTCTAGGGGTACAGAGTTCCGAACAGATTACTCTAGATTAGCAGAATTGAGAAGTTTGCTTCCTAATGCTAATATGTTAGCCTTAACTGCTACAGCCACACAGTCCGATAGAAAAAAAATTTCAGAAATGTTATGCATGAAGAATTTTCTTGAAGTAATCTTGAGTTGTGACAGGCCAAACATAAAGCATGTCTGTATAAAAGCTCCAGCAAGCATAAATGAATGTTTTTCATGGTTGTGTAATGACCTTAATGTAATGAAAGAGAATACCCCAAAATGTATCATTTACTGCAGAAACATTAAATCTTGTGGACTCATTTATCAATATCTAATGAGCCAGCTTGGTTCCCAAAACTCCTATATTGGGACATGTTCAGCAAAAAACTGTCTTTTTGCCATGTTTCATCATTCGACTGCTCAGAAAAACAAAACGATCATAATGGACACGTTTTGTAACACTGATAGCAAGTTGCGAGTTGTTATAGCAACAACTGCATTTGGTATGGGGGTGAATGTACCCGACGTACGTGTTATTGTCCACTGGGGGGCTCCTCACAGTATTCAAGGATACATGCAACAAAGTGGACGTGCTGGAAGGGATGGAAATCGATCCGTGTCTGTTATATACTATCACCCAGCTGATATAAGTACTGTTGCAACCGATAGTCACACGAGAGAATTTTGTCTGTTAAAATCATGTAGACGTCAATTTTTACTGGAACATTTTACACCAGAAGATACCACAATCACAAATGTTTCCAGCCTGTGTTTGTGCTGTGATAACTGCAAGCACAACTGTGAATGTCGTAATTGTCCTTCTGACACTGCTGCAGTTCTGGACTTAGATGAGGAATCCCTCGTAAAGGCTGTGGATATGGTTGAGGAGCCTCCAGTGCGCACTGTACATGACCTGCAAAGAAAGAAAATTAAAGAAAAACTGTATGACTTGCGTGCAAAATTGTTAGGTGATACATGTACTTCTTTGCTAAATATTGGACTCATAACAGGTCTTAGCAACAAAGTGATAAGTGATATTGTTGCAAATGTACATTACATTTTTTCTTTTGAGGACATTCTTTCCCAGTTTGTTTTTCAAAGAGCCTGTGCTGAGGAAGTTTTTGAAATTATTGAGAATGTTATGTCTGACTAGAGATAAAAATTTTAAATTAGGGACAGATGATATTTTTGGACCTATTTTGGTTGTAAATGATGCATGTAATAAATTTCTAAAATATTAAGAAATTGTAAACTTTCTATGATCATGATGATGGTAAAAATTCTACATTTCTGCAACCATCCTTATTAATGTGCACAACATTTTGTCACTTTAAATCCCATCCTTTGAAAAATTGGATATACATTTTATTTTATAAGCATGACTTAAGTTGTAATTTTCAAGATTTTTGATAAAAGTTTGTTTGTATCATTTGTTCTTAAAATGAGAAAAAATCATTTTCCAAAATAGTCAGGACAAACAATTACACAATAATGTATATACATGTACCGGTATCTTGTCTGATGTGCTTTTATTTCAGTGCATGTATGGGTTATTTCCTTGCTTGATTGATAAATCCCACTCATTTTGTGGAAATGAAAACACAAAAGAATTAAGTTTAGGCCATCTTTTAAAAATTGTTTGGTTGCCCTCTTCCTCCAGAAAATAATTACTTTAATGCATTCTGGAAAAATAAATTTTGATAATTCAGCATTGATACTGAAATTTTCTTAGAAAGAAAAATCCAAACTCTCTACTGACCCAGTTTATTCATTCTGATTTGGAAGAGGGCAAACAAACATTATTTTAAAGTTGGCCCTACTATATAAATACCATTCAAGATACACAAAACTCAATTAAAAACCAACTTACATGTATTTAAAAGGCTTGTTTATTTCCAGCATATTGCTTCTTCTTTGCATTCATCCACTTGTGGAATTCAATAACATTAAATTGTGTAAAAATATCAGATGGTTCATTTTGAAATGAATTGTGGGCCCTTCCAGGTATACAGGTAAAAACATTCGCTCTTTGTAATTCTCTTACAAGTTTTGTCAGGTCTCCGGTGGTATCCTGGGCTTTGTGATCCCTAGATATAGGAGCAGCTCCCACCTGACATTCCAGGTTTCTAGAAATGTCATGGCAAAACATCATGGTTTTGCCTATTCTTAGTACGGTTTCATGGGAATGGTTTGGTCCTATTAGTTTTACTCTTGCCTTGGCATATTTATTTAAAAGTTCCATTACATAATCCCCATCTAAATTTTTTCCCCTTCCACCACTTAAATTGACAAATCTGTTCCATATAACTTGATGTTGTTGTCTTGGAGTGAAGAGAGCAATGGTGCAGGCAATTAGCAGGAAGGCTTCCAGTCTGTACTTTGTCTTATGCGCAATATGATAGAGCAGCATAGCATATTTCCAGTGACGTAAAATGCGCATCCCATCTCCACTTCTTGTGGCCACTATGCTTATTTTTCGTAGAAGCCAGAATTTCAAAAAATTTGTTGCATAGTTATAAATTCTGTCATTATTTTCATCTTCACAAAGTTGTTCTCTATTCAGGGTCTGAGATAGTATGTTCATTATATGGCTGTCAACTAGCTCGCCAACAAGGTTTCGAAGAATCCTCTTCTTATGATCAATGTCTGCTAGATGAATACCATGTGGGAAAACTTTACACGGTGCATTAAGATCTGCCATTCCAAAATGTGTTAAGGCAAGGGAAATGATGTGACTTTCTCCAACTAAGTCTATAAAAGCACTGTCAGCATGATAGTCTTTCGTCACAGTACTACTGACATTCCTTCTGTTAATCACACTCTTTAAGTGATATAAAGTTCCAGGTTCCCTTGCACTTCCACTGTTGTAAAATCTGTCCATTATCATCTGCAATTTTAAAATTAACAAGAGGCCCAAGGGCCTTAACGGTCACCTGAGTACAACACAACAATTTAGAGAATCCATAGAGTATAAAATGAACTGAAAGGTGAAGCTTTGTTGCCAAAAGCAAGAAAAACAGAGTGATCAGGATCAAAAATGTAATTAGTCTACCATTCATTTACAGTTCATAAATTAGGTTCTAATATGTTCCCCATTTAACACTATCACCATACAGTAAATTAACAAACTATCAGTGCTTCTGTACTATCTTAATTCCTTGTTGAAATCTTTTACATTGGCCTCTCTTGGTCTTTGATGAACATTTAATAAGACAAGTTATTTTTGTCTCATTTTTATTTATCTATTATTTACAAGTCTACTTGATCATTAAAACTAGGAAAGTACTTTTTGTATTATACAATAAAAATTCTTGCATAATTCTCTTATTCTATTAACCTTTCAAGTACATTATTTACAGGGATTAATTATCAAAAGTAAATGCCAAAGGGGAATAACTCCTCTCAGTAGATTACAAATTAACAGAGCCCTAGCCGGGACCAGAACACTTGACCAAATGGTCCAGATGTTCAAAAATCTGGTAAAAATACCCTTCCTTATTAAAACTTTTACTCTTTTTGCCTCTGATATGCCCAGGTGCAAAGAAGATTTTTAAAGAAATAATGCATTTTTACTACAGATTCATTATATTATCAATAGAGCCCCCCTCCCCATCAAGAAACACCAGAGCCTCTCACCCTGGGACCAGAAGTTTGCTCATCTTAAGTAATCACTTTGTTTATCTGCTTAACACTAAGGAGCAGACAAGATTATTTAATAGAATTAATGCATTTTAACAATATTCTCAAGAGCCCCACCCTCACACCAGCACATCTGACCCAGGGGTCATGCAATTCACTACCCTGGAAGAAGCACTCTTGCTCATCATAACTATACACTTAGCTTCATTGCTTTTTAACCAGAAGCAGAAAAGAATATTTTCAGAGAAATTTTGCTTTTTCACTATATAATCAATAGAGCCCCCCCCCTTTTCACCAGAACCCTTGACCCTGGGGCCATGAAAATCACAATTTTGGAAGAGGCATCCTTGCGTATCATAACAATGTACTAATAGTTTGTTTAAATAATACCCAGGGGCAGAGAAGAAGATTTTTAAAGAAATAATTCACCTTCACTATAGGATACATATGGCCCTACCCTAGCACCAGAACCCCTGACCCTGGGGCCATGAATTTCATAATTTTGGAAGAGGCATCCTTGCTTATCATAACTATGTATTTAATTTGTTTAAATAATACCCAGGAGTAGAGAAGAAGATTTTCAAAGAAATAATGCACTTTCACTACATGATTTATGTAGCCCCGCCCTAGCACCAGAATCCCTGACCCTGGGACCATGAATTTCACAATTTTGGTAGAGTCACTCTTGCTTATCATAACTATGTATTCAATTTGTTTCAATAATACCCAGGAGTAGAGAAGAAGATTTTCAAAGAAATAATGCACTTTCACTATATGATCTATATAGCCCCGCCCTAGCACCAGAACTCCTGACCCTGGGGCTATGAATTTCACAATTTTGGTAGAGTCACTCTTGCTTATCATAACTATGTATTTAATTTGTTTTGATAATACCCAGGAGTAGAGAAGAAGATTTTCAAAGAAATAATGCACTTTCACTATATGATCTATATAGCCCCACCCTAGCACCAGAACCCCTGACCCTGGGGCCATGAATTTCAAAATTTTGGTAGAGGGCTCAATGCTTATTACAATCATGTCAACAGTTTGACTGCTTGATGTCCAGGAGTAAAGAAGAAGATTTTTAAAGATTGCATTAATTTTGGTGGTTTTAGCCCCACCCCTCAGGCCCCAGGGGGGCAGGGACCATGAAATTCACAATTTTTGTCCCCCTTCATCCATAGATGCTATATGCCAAAATTGGTTAAAATTGGTTGAGCGGTTTCAGAGAAGAAGCTGAAAATGTTTAAATGTTAACGCACGACGCACGACGGACGACGGACGACGCACGACGACAGACAAAAACGGATAGCAATAGGTCACCTGAGTGACTCAGGTGACCTAAAAATATGATAAATTAAAAGTGTGATTCTGGCATATCTTATTTCTAATGTACAAGTACACAGTGCTTTTATTTTAGTAATTAAATATGCCTGAACTATTAGCACTATAATTACAGTAAAACACGCTTATAATGAAGTACCAGGGGCATCTGTTTTTGCTTTGTTACAAATGTAATTCATTATATCTGTTAAGTTTACAATACATTTTGAAGTCACAAGGATTGAAAATCACTTCACTACAAGCGTCATTATATTATAAGCATTTTCACTACAAGCATTTTTTACAGTATCTTTTTTTTTTTTAAATCATGCATAAATGTTTGTAGTATCAACAGTTATGCTGGTGGAGACTCACCCCTCTTACATAAACAAGCATTCTGAGAGTATTGCATTAGCAATACTAGTCCCCTACCGGCAAGTGTAATCTGGTTCCCCTTAAGAATTGAAAATGCCATAATTCCGTCAAAAATTAATGAAGCGGGACGAAATGCAAACTTGATCTATAACTAATCAAGGTAAAGCCACATACTAAAAATCAGCTCAATATCTACAAGCGTTCAGAAGAAAATTGCGGAAAACCCTTAAAAATTGAAAAGGCCGTAATTCCGTCAAAAATCAATGAAGCGGAACGAAATGCAAACTTGATCTGTAACTCATCAAGATACACTCACATACGAAAAATCAGCTCAATATCTGCAAGCGTTTAGGAAAAAAGTGCGGAAAACCAAGTGGGACAGACTGACAGACAGACAGAGGGACAGACAGACAGACAGATGGACAGACAGACAGACAGACGGACGGACAGACTCAGAGGAAACCTATAGTCCCCTCCGGTTTCACCGGTAGGGGACTAATAAGTTGCTTTGCATAGTTTAAACATATCTGCAGATCATGATGGTACTGTAGAAATGAGATACTGATGGAACATAAACCAATAGTCAAAAGAAATTCTTTAGTTGTACTTGTTTATCTAACCTGTAAAAAATTCATCTTCTCATGGAAATCTTCCATCATGGACATACAGCCTTCCAGCCTCTCCTCTGGACTATCTGCATCAAACCGTGCCATATGAGCCCCCCTAATACGTTCACAGGTTAACTGGTCACCTCCCAAAGGTATGATTCGCATAGGCCCCCTGTCCTCTCTAGAAACCAAGATATACAAATAATTATAAAGAACTTCCTTTTGTACACAGTACAATTCAACAAGAGGCACGTTTTTTTTCTTCAAAATTTAAATAATGGACTTTTAAGCTTGTTTCCATATGAAATGTAAATAAAATTACAATCAGTGGCAAATGTACGTGGAGGAAGGTCTAAAGTGTGCATCTCCATGAACCCCCTCTTCCCCTTTTTAATCTTTGTGGGACTAACTCAGTGCCAGTCAGTGGGCTATTTTTTTTTCATAATATAAAGGATAATAATACCTTTTTTAACAACCTTACACTCACTTTAACTGTAAATCCTCAATTTACATATATAACTGCAATGTTTACTTAAATATGTTTTGGTTGAGTTTAAGTATTTTCTCTTGTCTTTCAACACATCAGACAGCTGATTTTTTTTTTTAAAATTATAATATACACACCTCTCTGTTAGATTTTCTATTTCATCAGCATTTCTTGCATTTGGCACAAACTTGTGAAGGTATTCCAGAATTTCTATCATGTCGTTCATCTTGTTTTCACTTTTGTCAAGAATTCCTAAAGGCAACTTAAAATTTGAAAAAAAAAATGGTGATCACATTGAAACAGTTACAAATTAAGAAAATGCCAATGTCTAAAAATTCAAAAAAGTATTTGTTTCAACGAATACAATGATCCTAACACAAATATTTGACAAAAACTTATTTTTCGAATAAAAACTTGTTGAGAAAGGAAATTTGTGTTTTTCATAAAGTTAACATTATCTTTCATCATATGCCAACACAAATAATTTGAATTTCCTGTCCATAATAAACAAAAAATTGCCAACAAAAAAATGAATGAAGAGCATACCAAGTTCAAAAAGAAGATACCATAATTCTAAATTGTCTGCAATTTTTCTTACAAATGTTAAACCTTTCTACAATCTAACCTTAGTTTCTTCTTTATGTCCTTAACTTTTGTGGTCGATGAAATTCCAATTCCAATTAACTTCAAATCAACAAGAACAAAATCATCTGAAACAAATTTAAATTGTAAAATATCCATGCACATTCCCTGTAAAGCCATATGTAAGATGAAAAGAAAAAAAAAATTATATATAAATTCTTCATAAATAAACCTTATAAAACACATTAAGATGAAAGAATTCAAATTAAGCTTAGATAAGAAATAATCTATATATGACTATTTCATATGGCTTTACAGAAAAAAAACAAAACAAAAAAAAAAAAAAAAAACAAGTCCCATAGGCCACAATCTCATCTAATTTAAGTTAAGAGAAATAAGTTATTCTTTTGGTCAAAAATGAATTTCATTTCTGTACAGAAAGGCTATATTTTGCACCATATGTGCTTAAAAACCTGATCATATTTGAATCTAATCACACTAGAAAGGCTTTCGCATTCATTTGACACTGTGCTGATACTAGTTGGATGTGGCTTACTTTTGAAGAATTCAAAATTGTGAAAAGTTTCATCAAGGACAGACAGACAACTGGACAAACTTTACACAGAAAAGCTTTTTTAGACCTCTGCTTCAGTTGAGAATGGGATAGAAGTCTATAATATCATCTGTTACTAAAACTTCAATAGAATAGCATTCCTTATACATATGTTAGAAGTTGTGAAACTGGTAACAGTAAAACATTTATACTTGAACATGCTGTGACATTTTACTTTAGTATTAGTCTTTCTACAAAATAAGGATTGTAGTATTTGAATTAAAGTACTGGTGATATGTTCTGTAATTTTTCCTATTTGCCAAGTCAGCAGACAGATATCAAGTTCTTAAAAAGATATTTAAATAACATTATTAAATAATAATAATTTCATCAAGACATAGTACACAGGAAATCAGATTTTAAATTTAAATTTTTGATTTGGACAAAGTGATAAATTACAAAAATTAATAAAGCTGATAATGTAGTTTATCACATGACAAAGAATTTCACACTTCATGTGCTTTTTGCAAGGTAATGACTTTTGAAATATCTAACCCTTAGCATTTACTATTCCATAGAAATGATAAGATTAACATTTATTTTTAACACTATTCCTATGCATTAGTAAAATAAATGTACTTTTGTACTAACTTCACAGTAGATATTTAAAGTAATCATGTTCAAGTATAGAAATTAAAATCATGTATTGCAATTCAAATGTACCTAAAAACCCTGGAAATGTAAAAGAAACCAAAAGTGATCTCAATGTACAAAAATTTTTTTTACCATTTTGTCCCAGATATGGAATTTTTGAATTCCATGGATACTAAACATACAATAATCTAAGAATGGCCTTGAATTGCAATAACATACACTTCATCAACATAGAAATGAATAAAATACATGAATACATATTATTATACTTAATGTCAACATACCACAACTGACTTCTTATCCATGATGTCTGAATAAGGGTGTTGAAAATAATCTGGATACACATCTTTAAAAATACTGAATGCCTGTAGATGCTGGATTAGAGTCAGTGATAAGATGTGGATCATATCCTCTCTTAAGTCATTATTGTCTTCAGCTGATGGCATGAGTTGTTGGTTTTCCACCTGATTCAGGTCACCCACAGGATTTTCATCAGGAAGATGCTCGCAATTTACTCGGTCTTTCACAGCCATGATTTGAACATAGTGTTTACTCATATTCTGGTGTGTTTCAGTCATGTCTCTGACATGTAAATAGAAATCTAAATTGTCTAAGTTAAATCTATATCCTGGCTCAAAGTTAGCATCAATTACAGCCCTATCATCTGCTGCATAGTTGTGATCCTTTTTTTATCATTATTCACTCTCAATTCAACATGCATAAGTTTATTTTGCTCTACCCGGGATTTAAGACTGTGCATTGTTTCATCTGATGAAACAGCTGCATTGCTTAGAGTTCGTTGTAGGGTTGAATGTCCAACAGTTATTCCCAATTTATGCAGAATATCAAAACCTTCCTTTTGAAGATGATTGTTATAAAGAGTTACAGCAACATTATGCTGCAGCTTACTCATGAATTTTGATCTGGAATTTAACAGCAAACATGCAGCAGTCGTAACTTTTGTGGTGTCACTAATTTTATTCTTATTTTCACCTACAGTGTTAAGAACACACCAAGTAATTGGCATCATCTTAATAGAGTCTGTTGTTTGATTCATACTGAATTCAAATGAATCTTTCGATTTTCGGAATACATCTTTCTGCATAAGTAACATCCCGCATTCTTGACGTATTACATCTGTTACACCTATTATTTGAAAAAAAGATAACAAAATTTTACCTTGGAATATTAATATGAAAACATTTTGTTTGTGTTATTATTGAATTTCAGAATGCAAAGAAACAAATGTGTTTGAGAAATATAGTCCATAACAGTACAAAGTTCAACTTCACTTTTGATGTTTGACTTTGATCATGAAGCTTTCTTATAATTCAAAATGTCCTGATTTATAGCTATAAATGCAAGAAATCATATAAAGTCATTATGAAGTCTACCTGCAACTACTTTTTCTTTCACTGTAGAATCAGCATTTGACAGCAGAAGACGCACACCCTTTCTGATACTGCCAGATGTCAGGCATCTGACAGCAGGTTGGAGATTTTTCTTACGGCTAATACTGCAATATTGGTGCATTTCTTTCTTCTGTGACACACGAAGTACACCACCAAGTTCACACTGCACAGCAGTGTCTTTTACAAGAATCTCTTTTACTTTAGACTGACAACCACTGAAATCTAATCCTCGCTTACTTTTACTGGAGGAAGCACCTACAAATTTTATATGTGAAGAAAAGATAAAAAAGAGTACAGGTAAAGAAAATGTAAAAAGAATGTACAGATTACTCCTAGACAGTAGACACTGCAAAGAAAATTCCCCTAAAGTGTCTATATGAACACTCCATAAGAGTAAATACAATTGTGAGAACATATATCTATGTTGAATAAGTCTGCAATATAACTATGGTCCAGCACAATCTCTTCATTAAAGCTGAACATGATTCGTAAAAGAAATTTTTCTACCATATTTGACCGGTTTCTCCCTATATCTGAGGGCCCCTATATAAAGCCGCTGACTTGATCACTGTTCAGTGTAATCAATCGTCACCGGCATGGATGGACGTATGCTATACAGCACTTGTTGGCGACAAAATATAATTGTGTACTTCTTCTAATGCAGGAGAGTATGAATATCAAAGAAACCTACAAAAGTTGCACAGGTCAGTGCAGTATACAAACAAACACAAATACTCATAACCACAATAAAATGTAAACAAAGGTAATGTAACATGTGTCACCATTCCTCACTGATACCCATGACAATAACGGTATATCCCCGTATCATAACTAGTAGTATAATAATTGGTGTATACCTCTTTATGAGTCGTGTTCAGCTTTAAGCTATATAGCTTGAAATACCTATATAGTTTTATTAAGCTATTCAAAATAGCTTGATAACGCGGTTTATATGCAGTTTTTCACAATTTTTTTTTGTAAGAAATACACAAAAAGTCGCAAGTACATGTATTTCATTACTCATATATATACTATGGACTATCTAAAAGCATTCCAAATCAAAGATAGTTCTAACATTGCAGCTTTTGAATAAATTCAAGCAAAAGATGATTTTCCATTGTTTGAGTAACTGCTCACTTCCGTGTGTGTGTTGAGGCATGGATAAGTATGATTGCTTCTCATTGTGCTGAATTATTACCAATCAGTTATCTTGCTGACAATAACTGACCTTTTTATAATATCAATCAAGAAATAACAGTATCGTCACTAATCAATAGCCCCAAAACTTTTAGAACTTTGAGTACTAAGTCTCTCAAGGTGATGTAATTTGGTGAGTGATTTTTACATGCATTGGATTCAGAAGAGTTCAAAGACAATCAAAGTTGAATATTATCACTGAACCAAAGTGCAACTTTTTGTATATGCTGAAAAATTAACACATTTGAGAAAAAAGTGTAATAAAATAGCTAAACCAAGCTATTCAGAATAGCTTAATAAAGCTATATAGCTAAATGAAGCTATATAGCTTAATCAAGATATTGTGCCGGACCTGATAACATGGAGCATTATGGTGCCTCTGCCATTTCAACTCAATTTAACACATGTTCACAGATGTTATTGTTCCAAATTTTTTTTTTATATCTATAATATATGATGCCATTTTTAAGATACTTACCGCTAAACGATTTCAAACTATATGGTGATTTCAGCTGTGGTGTTCTTATCCGACAACGTTTTTCCGAAATGCCAGGTGTATCTACTCTCGTTCTCTTTGAAACGTGCATAGACTGAAACTTTTGAGAAGCCTTCACCACAGAGAAGCTTAATTCCTCCGATTTCGACACCATGTCTTGGATTCTTTCAATCAGTCTCTTGCAGCCAATGCAAAGAAAGGCGCCATCATTTTCAGAGCGGTCAAAACAAAAACCATAAAACTTATTTACCAACTTCAAACTCGGCCCCCCACATCCCTGTTTTGTTCTAATATAGTACCGCTGTTTGGAATCTTTAGTACAGGCAACACAAACACTTTTATCAGGCACGATGAAGTACACAGTAACACACTTGTTTTCATGGGCGTCGCCATTTTGGAATTCACGCCACCTTGCGGAAATTTTTTTTTTTCATAGAAAGCGTCCAGACGTTTGTAGAGGTAAATGCAAACGTCTGGATGATACAGACTATGGCATTTCAGGCTTTCTGGAAAGCCAAACTTGTATACGAGTCGGTTTGTGTACGACTTGACTGGACACCGATTTACCGCCTGTAACTAGCACTGGTTCTCTGCCCTTGATTCCAGTCGCTGCTGCTAGGGCGCTTGCGCCCGTTAACCAATGTCAGGGTACCAGTCTACGCCTGTAACTTTCTGCAACTAATATAAACAAATGGCCGTCAACCTGATTGCTGTGTAGTTTTTTTCCCCATGAAGTAAGAAAAACAAGCTTAAACTAAAGATATTCATTTTTAGGCCGAAAAATTTGTAGACCCTAATTTTATGTTTACTGAAAAAATCAGAATGGCTAAAGCAGCACAGCAGAAGACTGAAATCTTGATTGACTGGGAAAAAACAGCTATTACTGGACCTGTTCTTGGATTTCATGCAGGATGTGTCGTGGGTATGCTGTACTTGACGTTAATTTGATAGAGATAAGTAGGATGATACTGATTACTGTTCGTTATCTCCATATTTCATAGACGAGTTTCATTCACATTCTTAAGAGTTTTTTTTTTATGTGTATTTATAGATCCATAGCATTTTATCGTCCAAAGTGTGAAAGACGCTTGAGAAACGTAATTTAGGGAGAAAGGCGGAGGGGGTGATTTTCCACTATAAATTCAAAACTGGTCGTTTAAATAATTTTAAAAAAATTATGAGGATTATTTTGCAACCAGCTATATGAACATGAAGAAAGTATTTTTTCCAGAATAAAACGATAGGTTTTTTCATAAAAAAAAATATTTAAATTCAAAAATATGCATTTTTCAAGCCTAAGATGAACCATAGTTTTTCAGTTGAAGATCTTCAAAAAAAAAAATTATTGATATGTACTTCCACAAAATTACTTTATTTGTGTGCTTAATGATCAAACGTAATCTCAGTGAGATTCGTCGAGACTAAAAATTTTGGACAGACGTCTCTTACGAATCTCAGACCAGTGCCAAACAAAGTGACTAGGGAAATCTTGCACGGACTTCGACCACTGTTTCGATCAATACGGACTGAAATGAATTCCCTGCCCGCTTCAACTTTCTGCTTTGGACATCCTTTTAACTCCCTATCACTATAAAACTTTTGTTTCTTACCTTTTAAAGGTTTTAATCCAACAAAGTCAAGTTGTTGATTTTTTCATAGCACTGATATATTCGTTCAAACCTCCAAAGCTGAAGAGTTCCAGCAATAGTCTAGCTATATACTTCGTACTATGGTTCATTTCTATAGGAAATCATAGTAGAACGAAGTATTTGAAGGAGACTATTGCTGGAACTCTTTGTAGTACTATCGGTGAATACAATTACTGTGGAATCATTTAAATTTGTGGGGGTCAATGTTCGTGGGCAAGCAAAATTCTATTGGTTCGTGGGGATGTAATTTCGTGGGTAGCTCATTTATTTGGTAGATCTAATTAATCAGTATGTTGACAAAATAGTTGTTCGTGGGGATGTAAATTTGTGGGTATTAAGGGTTACCCACGAAATCCAGGAACATTGATCCCCCACAAACAATGATGATTCCACAGTATCAGGTGGGTTCCATGGCCAAAAACACGTGACCACGAGTATTGTAATGTTAAAAAAAAATGTCCATTTAAATGATCAAAGGGACACTGACCAATTGTTTTTACATGTGTATATCCTCTACCTACTTAATCCCCTAGATATGCCTTCAAGGTGTCTTCCCACTTAGCCAACATTTTGAAAAAAATACAGGTAAAACACAGGTAAATCTGTGTTGGCTAAGTGTTGGCTAACTGGGAATGGGGAGCAGGTGGAGAACAAAAGAATTAAATTACAGGTAGGCAATAGTATGTCACCTGTATAATTTAGGTAAACGGTGTTATGTAGGCCAATAAATATACTAAATATGATAAATAATAAATTATTCAAGTTTTTACATTTTATATATATAAAAAATATAAATATATTCTAATTTAGTAACAGTTTAACTGAAAGATGAGTACAAAATTCCGTTATATTCTGGTATTTAACGTATGTACTATAGTAAAAGGACAGTATATTTCTAACTACTCTTTAAATATTATACAATTATTGCTGTTTTTGAGGTCAATATGATGATTTAGCCACCTGAGGAGTACAATATTCACCAAGCCCGAAGGTGGCTAAATCATCGTATTGACTGAAAAAAGGTAATAATTGTTTTATTATATGATTCAATTATTAAATGATATGAACTCATTAAGCAATTCATTCCATCTTACTTGTTTACATTTGCTGAAGTCCTAGCTTAATGCAATGAGAGAAGCGGGGTTAAATAAACATTACCAGTCATATTAGTTTGGAATTTTTTAAATCTACTTTAGTTGCTATGAAAAAAAAAATAATAATGTCAGGCTCTTTTATAGAATAGATTTTGAAAGGGGGGTTATCAGGATCTTTGATTAGCACGCACGAAAAGAGAATTCTTTAAACTTCAAATTTTGTTTTAGGGTTGAGATGGGGTTAGGGGTGGGGGATTTAGGTCCATTAGCAGGGGACCAGTCTTTCAATGAATATTTTTAGTTTAAATTAAAAGTAAAAATTTACGTTCAGGAAAAAAAAAATTGTTTAGGGGGAGTTCCCTGCACCCAACCTCCACCCTTCACAATCACATCCACCCCTAATTATATATTCCATAATGTTATGTTCACCTGAGTGGAAGTTGGTAGCAAGTCATAGCTTTCCAAAACTATTTGTATCAATTTGGAATTTCCCAATTTATTTTTAGACCAACGTAGCAAAAATAAATCTTTATATTCACCCGGAAGGTCACGTGCAGGTGAATATAACATAGTATTTTTTCTACATTGTTGGATCTCAGCCAATCAGAGATATAGGAATTATTCAATATCATATGATAAAACACAATATAACACAATGATAATAAGTCTTCACAATAAATGCCAATTAATTAATTAGTAAAAATAATCTTATAGTCCAACTTTGTTATAGTCCCGATTAATGTAGTCCTAGTCTGTTATAGTCCGACAATTAAGTATGTAGATATAAAAAGAATTTTAGCTAATACCTAATTTTTTTGTGGTGGTGTTGCATATTTGGTCTGCTTCACTGGGGTCAGGACACCCTCGCGGAATTTGCTGAGTTATTATTTGTACATAGGGTGAGTTCACCATGCATTGGACACATACCTAGCTCGCTTTGGACAACTTGAAGCAATAAACTTGCATCTAGCTGCAGAACTGTAGTGTTTGTATGGTTTAATATTTTAGTCTTTGACCAACAATATCACTAGAACTTGTTCAAGTACAAGAGTGTCAGATGCATGGTGAACTCACCTTAGAAAAGTTGCAAAGAAAGTATTTAAGATTTTTTTTAGTCAAAATTATATTCTTATACATATTGATGAGATCTTTTCAAATGCATCAAAATATTAATCCTTTCCTTGAGCTTAACCTCATTTTTCAAAAAAAAATGTGTTTAGCTTAGCTTTAAAGAAGCAGATATTTTTATCAAGTCTTATATGCTGATACATTTTGGTGAGTACTATTGAACTGCATCAATATGTAGACCTTGACCTTCCCTTTGAACTTGACCTTTACATAAATTTGCATTTACATGTAGCTCAGTTTAAAAAAAAAACTATTCGAGATATTGTAATGTGAGTTTATGCACTGATACATAATTTGTGTCTTTTTTTACCTTGAACTTCCCAATGACCTTTGACTTTACTATTTATTGTGTATAAAACTCAGTTCTTGAGAAACTCTTCAAGATATTTTCATCAAACTTCATACACTAATGGAAAATTTTCATATTGCATTATTAATGAGCCCTGGGTGGGGTATTCGTGTCTTATCAACATATTTCTAGTTATTTTGTTTGTTTTTAGCTCTACTGACCAAGAGACCAGAAGAGCTTATAGTAAGGTGTCTGTTTGTATGTCCGTCTGTAAACAATTTTTCAAAATGCTACTCCTCCTACAGTTTTGGTCTGATTTCAGTAAAACTTGGCAAACAATTAGATTGAATATCATTTTTTTCTATTTCAATGAACGGTGTTGCCATGGTTACTAAAAATAGAAATTTCTGTGAAATACTTTCAAAACGCTACTCCTCCTACAATTTGGTTTGATTTAAATATAACTTGGCACACAAGTAGACTACACTAAGATACACAATTCTATATATCACTTTTTGATTTCAATGAACTGTGTTGCTATGGTTCAGGGGCTGACAAATAGATTTTTTAGGCACTTGTCCAAGGGCAAGTGTATGGTGAAAATTCACTTGCCCAACCTGAATTTTTGCTTGCCCAACTATAAACTAATACTGTATTTATATAATTTTATATTAAAAAAAAATAGGAAGAAAAATACTGAGTAGAACATGCAATCCTCTGTGCCCAAGATTAAATCTACGACTTAAATATTTATCTTATTTTATTTTCTTTAAGTCACTTGCCCACGGGCAAGTGGTTGATAAAATTTCACTTGCCCTGTCCTAAAATTCACTAGCTCCGGGCATCGGGCAATGGGATTTGTCAGCCCCTGTGGTTACTAAAAATAGAAATTTCTGTGAAATACATTCAAAACACTACTTCTTCTACAGTTTTGGTCTGATTTCAATATAACTTGGCACACACATAGAGTACACTGAGATCCATAATTATCTTTATCATTTTTTGATTTTGATGAATGATGTTGCAATGGTTATTAAAAATAGAAATTTGTGTAAAATTCTTTCAGAAGGCTATTCTCCTACAGTTTAAGTCTGATTGCAATAATTCTTTCCACAAAAAGAAACTATACCTAAGATCATTATTCTATTTATTGCTGTTGCAAAGTTTCAAGTCCAAGTGCTACTTTTTGCTTCCTGTTAAAAGTACAAACCAGTTGAGCTATTCTCATCAGAGACTTCTTTTTTTGTTTTATTTTGCTTGTCAACAAATTTCTGAGTTGGATTTTGAGGTACTCCTACAAGTAGGGCTGTCACGGTTCCAAAATATTTCGGGTCGGGTCGGTTCTGTAAATTTTCGGTTCGGTTTCGGGTTTTTCGGGTCGGGTATTTACATCTATTTTAAACCTTAATTTCATGAATTTAACTTGAAAAATCTTTTAAATTATTCGTTACATTAAATTTACATTGGAAACAAGTCTTAACCATGCGAACGTCTAGACATCGGTGACTTGGTCTACTATTACCCACAACCTGACCATTCCTGCTCGTTTTGATAATCATCTAATACTTCCGTGACAAGTGTTTTGTCATGGAATGAAGTAGATTTCAGTTGTGATGTTTATTTATCACTGTTATCGTCGTCATTCCTTTGATTTCGACGCCATTTTTTGTATTGAACAGACTCTAATATATAAACCAGACCCGAACCGAAATCCGGAAAAATGGAACCGGAACCGAACCATACAACTTGGACCGCGGTTCTC